AGAGAGAGAGAGAGAGAGAGAGAGAGAGAGAGAGAGAGAGAGAGAGAGAATAAGTGCAATAAAAAGTTACTTTTCTGTACATATATATTATTTAAAAAATATACTTAACAGTATACGATACAAAAATCCAGTGATAACACAAATTAACGTTTCTTCCTAAAAATATTCTTTGCCGGCCGTAACAAGTGCTTAAACTCTTTTCTGTGACGTTTCACTTCCATAGGTCGTTTTCTCTGCGAAAGTTAAAGAAGATATAAAATTTTAAGATGAAGAACATACGAAAACACTTTCTTGTAATAAGCGATCAAATCAATAGACGTACCTTGCCGACGGTAAAAGTCATTTCTCGACAACCGTGTGAGCCGGACACTTTGACATCATACATCTCTTCGTTCTTCAGTCTCTCCGCGAACGATGTTCTGCGAAACGTTACCGCACAATTAAATAATGTTAATGTAAATAATATCCGAAATATAAATGCACAATAAGTCAAAGTAAAATTATTATTTACTTGTTTCGCCTCGCTGTTGACTCGCCCTCTTCAAACGTCACATCATTTTTAATTTTGTCTAGTCTCGATTCGTTTTTCGCGGCCGGGTTATTATCCTCCTCCCCACTATTCTCTTGTTCTTTCTCTCTCTCGTTTTTTCTTATTAAGCGATAATTCTTTCGCACTTCTTTAGCCCACGGCTTCTCGTCGTCCGAGCTATCAGAGCTATCATGTATGAAACTCTCGTCTGAGCTATTGCCTTTAAGAGAAAATCGATTCAACGTGAATTTTTTTACATATACAGATTTTTCGAGGAAGAAATGATATTTACAATATTCCTCGTTACCTTGTGTTTCATTCTCATAAGAATTATCCTGTTTCTCTTCTTCTTCTTCCTCTTGTACTAGTCGTCGTTTCAACGCCTTAGCTTTATTTTTGTCGAGTTGAGAAATAACAGGATTCAATAGAGCAAATTCTTCAGAATTTTTATCAACTTGGAAATCAGGATTGCTGAAGAGAGCCTTGAATCGCTCGTCCTTCAATAGATTAGAAGACACCTGTTTCTTGCGATTTTTATTGTTCGCGTTGTCCATTAATTTCAATGCTAACTCTTGATTCACACTTGGTAATTTTTGTATCTGTTTATTAAAGTGAGCATATTATAAGGATGTTGAGTTTCAATATATTACACGTTCAAATATTTTAATAAAACATAGTGTATGTAAAATTAGTCAAAATTAAGTAAAATACCTGTACTCTATTAACACACTCCTCCTTAATCTTCTCTCGAATTCTTCTCTTCTTGTATTCCTCGAATTCGAATGGTTTCATCACATCTCTTGCTTTTCTGTATAATCGAATATCCATGAAATATCCATGCATGTAAGCCCTGAGCAGATTGCTGCCTTTTAGATGCAAAAGACCTAATTCATCTAATTCCTTTTCAGTAACAAATTTATAATCATCGTAGATAATATCGTAGTTCAGTTCCTCCAATTCCTCCGTGAGATTATCGAGGAAACTACACCAGTACGGGGCAGGTCCAAGACTAGGAATATAATATGTCTGCATCTTTATCGTTTCATTAGCTATCATGAGCATACCGGTGTTTGGTATAACACACAAATCGTTGAAATCGTGCTGAGCTTCTATAGAAGTGTAAATTTTGCCCTAGAAAAAAAATGTATAACAATTCATCTACAAGATTCTAATTAAAAAATAAATCTTGCATTGTGGCTTGTATTTTTATTTTTACAAATATGTGAAAAGAACAAAGTATCTTATTGGTTTTACTTACACTGTTCTTTTCCCATATTTTTACAATAGAACTGTCCATAGAGTAAACAAGATCCATTTTTTCATGAAATTCTATATTTTTGATTGGCAAACCATACATATGGTCCTTCATCAAAAATGGTTTACTGGATCTTATATCATACAGCATTATTTGTCCTGTCGATGTACCAACTCCTAAATTCAAGCCTCCTTGAAACTTTAAAGCTGTGATTGCTGGAACTGTTTCAAACCTAAAAAGTAAAAAGTAAAAAGATAAATTTTATGATAAATCACTTTTAACAGATGGATTTTATTCTCGTATCCTACTTGTCCTGGGTAATACAATGTTGAGCACAGTCCAACACTCCAACTCTATTCCTCATCCTTGGATCCCAAGCTTCAACTTTTCCTTCCTGTGTGCCAACTACAAGTAGATGATGCAACGAATTTATTTCACATTTGTTTACTGAAGTTGCTTCCGTCTCAAATGATTGCAAAAATTGACCACGTTCGAGATTTATTCTGTATATTTCATTACTGCAACAATATATTATAATAATTATGTGTCTATATATATTTTGAATATATACTCATATATTAATATATTCTATGTACTCATTTATCCATAGATATACTCAATAGATATACTCAAACATGATAGAAATTTCACATTAATATATAAATAATAATTATAACAAATATATATAAAATCATATAGATTTTAGAACTGACCTATCGCCTACAATGAAAATATCACATGAGGGATAATGATATTTCAGGTCTCTTCCAAAGCGTGGCATTCTAAGCTTGTAATATTTTCCTTGAGCAGCATGAATTTCAATATTGCGATCATAATGTAAAAATATTAACTAGGACAAAATAGAAGTTTTTTAATAAAATTATTTCAATCCTATTGTTCTATGTAATTTTAATAGTTTTATAATATTCATACTTACTTTACTATAATCATCTGATAATATCTCAAAAGTGACCACATCAGAATCAAAGCATCTCTCAAACTTCAATGACAAGTTTTGTACATCAAAGCATTTTACACGTGGTTTGTAAATTCCTGTCGCAAGGATATACTGTCTATCTTTAGAAACTCTAATGGATGTACTCACACCAGGCATGCTGAAGTCTTGAATAAGTTCGATGCGCCGTCGTATGTCTATTAGCAAGTAATCATAATGTTAAATATAATCTCAAACATCTTTTTGAGGCATAAAACTAAAGTTGCCATATTACTGGATCTAAATGATTTTTTTCTAAGATAAATAAAGTAAATTATATGTTACTTTTACTTATATTGATAATCCTTACCGACATTCTTTTTTACTAAACTTCTTCGTTTTCGTTCAGATAACCACTGAAAAATATAAAAAATATACATTTAAAAAAATATAACCTAAAACAATAAACGTAATATTAATGATGACCTCTCTTACCTCAGGGAGAGACTTCCCAGCGCTTAGATTATAAATTTTTATATTATTCGGAGCGGAAACTTGCATTTTTAGCAGCTTTTACGTAACGCAAATACTTAATGACAAATAAATTATTTTAAATTCTCCATAACTTTATTTTTTGAAAACCTATAGATATATGTGTGCACGTGGGACAATTCTCTCTTTCTCAATAGGTGGTCTGTTCTTTTCAGCTGCACTGCTAAACTGGTGCAATAAGTTAGAGAGAGAAAACATAAGGTCTGTTCTTTCGCTCCGCACTGCTACACTGATGTAACAAGTTAGAGTGAGACAAATATATATTTGTTTCGCTCTAACTTATTGCACCAGTGTAGCAGTGCAGAGCGAAAGAACAGACCTATATACTTGTCTCACTTTAACTTATTGCACCAGTTCAGCAGTGCAGACTAAGAAAAGAACAGACTGAGGTTTGTCTTTTCCTCTGCATCCCTGCACTAAGGCTGCGTTCCGAAATTCACTGCCAGTACTAAAATCCTATAATATACGTAACATGAACTATAGATTTTCAGTACTGGCAGTGCATTTCGGAACGCAGCCTAAGTGTGATAAGTTATAGTGAAAAAAAGTATATTTGTTTTACTTTAACTTATTAGCGTGTTCGACTGGCCCTAGGTTAATCGCTCCGAGAGCGATTAACGACGTCACAAGTCTGTACTAACCAATCATAAAATTTATAAATACTTGTTCGACTAATAAACGTAGGCTGAATAACCAGAGTGGGTTAACTCCTTATGGCTCCTGCACACAGGACACGGTAATGCTTGCCGCGCGGCGGAAGTTCGAACGACAGCCAATCAATATGCTGCTTTCCGTAATAACCTTCCAGCTCTTACGGAAAACAACATATTGTTTGGCTGTCGCACGGACTTCCGCCACGCGGCAAGTATTACCGCGTCCTGTGTGCAGGAGCCATTAGGGCTTGTGTCACGATGCTAGAAATTGGAACGAGATCTCGATTTGAGAAACGTGTAACCAATAAAACTGTTGTCTTTCCGTAAAAGTTGCAAATGGATTGGTTGCTTTTTTCTCGGATCTAGATCTCGGGCCGATTTCTAGTATCGTGGACACAAAATTTTAAAAGGTTTTTTAATTTGACAGACGATAAGTGGTCCGAGTTGTCAGTGACCCGTTGGAATATCGTTATCGTTTTTTCGGGTAACCTGTTAAGGCTCGCCTACAATTTCTGTAAGAATATGGCTGTAAAGCTGTAAGATGCGAAATGAATTATTTTCATTCGCTGACAGCCACGTTACAGCCTTACAGCCATATTCTTATAGCTATTGTAGATAAGCCTTTATGGTATACGTATTTCTAAAAACAAATAGGTCTGCTCCAGAATATTTAGTAACTCTCGATCTAGTAAATGTTAAAACATCCATGACAAAATCTCATCTATACTGCAGCCGAATGTAATGAATGAACACGGAATTCGAAATCGATTTTGATCGAAATATTTTCGTTATTCCATTCTATTTAAAAAAATAGAAATAAATTTTTTTTTACAATTCACACTAGGGAAAAAGATTTATGGCTCCTGCATACAAAATGCGGTAATGCTTGCCGCGTGGCGGAAGTTCGCGCGACAGTCAATTAATATGCTGCTTTCCGTAATAACCTTCTAGCTCTTGCGGAAAAACAACATATTGATTGACTGTCGCGCGGACTTCCGCCGCGCGGCAAACATTACCATGTCCTGTGTGCAGAAGCTATTATGATCGACCCTCTGGGTTGCGTTCTAAAATTCACTGTCAGTACTGAAAATCTATAGTTCATGTTATGTATACTATAGAATTTCAGCACTGACAGTGAATTTCGGAACGCAGCCCTGGTTTCTTTCTGTTTTACATGGGTACAAAGCAATGCAACTAACTTCCAGGGACCCTATTCTTAAAATAGTTGCTTATACGTAATGGCTGCGTTCAGCAGAGAAAGCTGCTTTGCAACTGTTGTAAAATTCGTGAATCTGATTGGTATATGCTCTTGGATTTAACTAAAATTAAGAGCATACTCCAATCAGATTCACGAATTTTACAACAGTTGCAAAGCAACTTTCTCTGCTGAACGCAACCAATGGCTCCTGCACACACGCGGACGCGGTAATGCTTGCCGCGCAGCTGAAGTCCGCGCGACAGCCAATCAATATGTTGTTTTTCTGCAAGAGCTAGAAGGTTATTACGGAAAGCAGCATATTGATTGGCTGTCGTGCAAACTTCTGCCGCGCGGCAAGCATTACCGCGTCCTGTGTGCAGGAACCATTAGTGCTGGTCTACAACCTCGTTTTTAGAAAATATTTTATCTCTAAGTCGTAAGCTGTAAGCTAAAAACTGTTAAATAAATCTTAAAGACAGTAGTCCACGATATAAAACGTAAGAAGTAAAACATAACATGTATCAGGTAATGAGAGAAAAATTATTCGGATTTGCATGTTGATGACGATGCGTTTGTTGACACGCAGTTCCTATAGAAATGCATCAATCAGAACAGAGTATTTCCATCCTGCAAGCAAATCAGTACGAAAACAGGCATCGAGCCGCTGGTTCTATTAGCGTGAAATTCTCACTAATTGAAATAAAATAGCAAAGAATCTCCTAGACTTTTCGATAATCGATTTAAACGATTGTCTACATTTCCCTAGTAGCTACCGCTAGTAATTCTAGAAATATCAGGTAGGTGGAGTGGCGACGGTCGGCTCTATGATGGCGGCGAAGGAAGGGGCGGGTAGGAGTTGAGAGGAAGGGAGGGTGGTAGAACGACCGGCGTTTCAGCGCGTATCGGTAGTCGCGAGACGAGTCAGTTGGTGACGGGTTGCGTTCGTCTTGTGCGGCGTAGTGAACAGTTTCGGTCGTCCTCTCTTCTCCCCTTGTGTTCAAAAATGAGCTGGCAGGATTACGTTGATAAGCAGCTGCTCGCGTCTAGGTGTGTTACCAAAGCGGCGATTGCCGGACACGATGGCAACGTGTGGGCGAAATCCGATGGCTTCGAAGTGAGTAGTACACTAAAAGAATACCGAGAAACGGGAGAGAGATAGAGAGAGCGCAGGCAGGAGAATGAGAGAGTGAGAGAGCGTGAGCGAGCGAGAGAGTGAGAGTAAGTGAGTGAGCGCGAGAAAGCGAGAATGAGGGAGAAACGGAGTCGATAGAGAACGTGGAGAAGCCGAGCACACTCAGTAGAGACGTGGTAGCAGTCTTTCTTTGATAAAAGCGAAAGTGCGCGAAACGGAGTAGCGGGGAATAAAGAGGTTCTTTGGTAAAACGCGTAAAACGTGCTTTGTCAGTGCGCGTACGAGAGAGAGGAAGAGATATGGAGAGCGAGAGAGAGAAAGAGTGCGAGCGAGCAAGCGAGCGAGAGAGAAAGAGCGAAAAGGAAAGAGAGAGGACAGATGCTTCGGCAAGATCGTCCGTCGCGCGCGGTTCGCTCGAGCTCGTTCGGCTCCAACACGAACCGGTTCGGTCGAGTAAGTTGGCCTGTACGGCGTGCACGTCGTCGGCTACTTTCTAACCCCGAAATACGGTGCCACGTAGATGCCGGCCGGCCGGTCGTTCGTTCGTTCGTTCGTTCTGTCGCGGCGCAGCGCGGTGCGTTATCGTCGCTTGAGCGACGTGCTCGTCCTCGCCGTCGTCGTCCCTCGCGATATTACACCGGCGACGGACGTAAATCTCGGTTGCCGTCGTGCGCATGAGGAGGAGAGAGACAGACCGAGTCCGCGGGAGACGATGCCTATGAGCCGCTCGCTCACAGGCGGCGGACATGTTTCGCTCTCTCGCCGGCGATCCCCCGGAGAGGTGCGCGAAGAATCGATCGACTCGTGCACACGCGAGTGCCCTCGTCGTAGCCGGCGATGATGACGATGACGAGAGAAAGAGAGAGAGAGAGAGAGAGAGACAGAACGGTCTCGTTCACGGGGCGTGTGTCGCGCGACACGGCAAAGTCAATAGCAAAGCGGAGAAACGGCCGTGTTCGTTCGGCTCAGGGATCGATTATGTATCGCGCGGCTCGAGAAGGGTGTGGCGTTGCGACGGCGGCTTCGGCGGCGGTGTCAACGTAAAAATACGTGGCCGCCGTCGAGAACGACGGTCGCAGGCGGTGCACGGCAATCGTCACGGGTTCGTTTTCCGGCGCCGGTGGCCACGGGAAAATGAACCTTACGACGCCATGGTCGCGACTCGCGCGTTTTCATCTCGTCGATCGAGCAAGAATCGGAGCGACATGAGGATCGATTCCGCGACGACGACATTCGTCGTTGAGGTGCGTCAAATTCGTCGGAGCTCCGGCATTCTCGCCCGTCGTCACGCTACGTACAACGGGTTTCGGCGACGACGACGACGCCACCGCCACCGTCGTCGTTTAACATGGCCGCCTTCTATCAAGGCGCCGGGCACGTTGCTGCGCTGTCGCGCACCGCGACGTGGAAATGGTGATCCATTGTTCGCGATCGCGACACGACGATTCTCGATCCCCGTTCACGAACTTGATCGTGTCGCGCGAGTCGATCGGGGGAAAAACCACCGCGATTTCGAAGCTCGCGATGAACAGACGGACAGATCGAAATTTTAGGTTAGCTCAGCAACAGTCACGTAGGCGCGTGAGGAGGAGGAGAAGGCGGTGGGTGTGGGACGTTTTCTTTTCTTCTTCCCTTTGCTTTTTTGCAGCCACTGGTGCGTTGGATTGTGTGCTTATATATACATGTGTGTAACGACATACAGGTCGTTTCAGCGAGTTTGCGCGTGTTCTCTGTCCGCAAGAACCTCAAGCACCACCACAAATCTCACCGATATCGCTTATCTCGAAGTTATTTGTTTGTTCGTCGTTAAGCTTTGTTTTTCGCGCTAGAGCTGTAGCTCGAGGCGTTAATTAGCGTTCGATCGATCGTACGTTCGTTCGTAACGTTAAAGCCAAGAGTCGAGACTGAAGGAATTTTAAATAGGAACTCAGCCACAACGATATGTAAGCATGCAATATTGCGTCTATTGATATGTCGAAATAGGAAAAAGATCCATCTAGTTTTGGTTAGTTACGTTTTATGTCTCGTGTCATTTTTCGATTTCTAAGATCTCCTCTGGCTTGTTATTAATCTGAACGAACCGGTGTTAAAATGAAAGCGTCAATCAATTTTTTCTTCACGAGGCTAACGTTGGAGATTACCGGAAATGCCGCGGATTACCGGAAACGCCGGGGATTACCGTGACGTTACGAGCGGTCGTTTAAATCTCGCGTGCCCTGAACGTGGCGATTATCGCGTCCCAAAGTTAACAATTGCGCCACGTCGTCTAGGATTTCGCGTGCCGTCATTTAATATGCGTTTCCCGTTTTGTCTCCGCGTTGCACAATCGTCGACTCTAGAAGAAAAGGAAGACGAAATTTTTCGATCCTTCTCCGAATCGCAGTGAAAGCTGCGATTGTGATCGGTGCGCCCTCCGCACTGCACTTTCGAAGCTTACGCGGGATCCTTCGTCGGTAAACCTGTCACAGCAAGGTGGCCGTCTCTATGTGCGGAAGATCGCGAACCTGTGCGTCTTTTATTTAAGAAACAGCTGCATTAAATCACATTTTCCGCGCGCGTAAAATAACGCAGGTTATCAGGAGAGCAAGGAAAGAGGAAAACTCTGCGAAGGAGTGCAGAGAGTGCAGTTGAAAAGAGCAGACCTCGTGTGAGAGCTGAAATCTTGTTGTAAGATTCGTCTCGTTCGCTAGGGAAAAAGTCGCGCGATAAATTCTTCTCTAACAGCAAACTTCAGCGTCCGCGCGATTCTCTCGAGGCGTCTTTGAAGCCGCTGTAATTCCGCTGAGTTCAGATCGATGCTACAGACATGCGAAACCGCTCTACGTTTGCTTGTTCCCTGCGTTCGTTCGCTCGCTCGAGACAATAAGAATGACAGTGGCGATTGTTGCAACGTTCAAGTATGAATAGCCGCTACGCGAGGGGAGACAAGAGGTTCGCTTTACTTGCACTTTCTATTCTTGCTCTCCGCATATGCCTGAACGTGGGTACACCGATTTTATCTTGCGTGCAGAAAGTGCAGCCGCAACGTTGATGAGCACGTCGTAGGATGATTTAAGAGGGGAATCGCGAAATTTCCGTTTGCACCTTCGAAAGCGGCCGTAGATAAGGGAAATCTTATCTCTCGCAATTGATCTCAGCTGTTCAATCTTTTTTGACGCACGAAAAATATAAGTTCTCATTGCGATAGTTAACGTTCTTAATTGTAAATTAAATGTGTTTCAGCGCAAATGTCACTTCTTTTTAAAACAATTTGTCGATTTGAGATGTTGGGGGTTTAGAATCGTTGTAAATTCATCTTGTTAACTGGAAGTAGACAAGTTAGAGAAGTTAGATTAAGATAAGCTAGTGTAGGAAAATGATATAGTTGGCAACATTTCTTGAAAATTATCCTAGGCTTAGTACGAATTTAGATGTAAGATAGGGATTTGACATCTGCGAAGCTATAAGAAGATACGAGAATCGCTCTTTCCGAATATCCTTAATGTGAATATCAGTTGCCAACACTTATACCCGTATTCATATATAGTCAGACCTTATATTTAATGCCTCTTTAAATTTATCTTCAAATGCTCTACGAATTATTTTATTGGCTACAGAGCATCTGAAGGTGAACTTAAGGAGGTTTTACTATAATATAAGGCCTGACTATGAATTAGACATTAGGCTCAAAAAGGTACTTTCGGCGGTTATGTATACATCTAATCAAATTGTTTAAAAGCTCAAAAATTAAATCAAAGATTATGCAATATTGTGCTTTGAACTAGTTGAAAATTAGATTTAAATTCTCTGCTCGTTCTGTTTCCGTTCGTCGAAGTGTTTTATACTGTATTCACCGGGAATTGAGCATTCAATTATTCAATTTTTCTGCATTTAGTTGTAAATTGTGATAAATATGTGCAATCTACACGAATTTCTTCATATATAGTTGCTGACAATGTATATAAATTTAAACGAGAAAACAACATGAGAACTCCTGCTATCAAGGCCAAATCTTACACTAGGAATAGTACATATAAGCACAGCTCGCAATTTGACTGAATTTTAATACCCTCGTTGATGGCTTCAAAAATCCATCTGTGTTATTTACGAGTGATTTTAATCAATACAACGCGAATTATTAATTGTGCATAGTGAAATTATCGTTTCCAAGCGCGCCTCGAAAGAATCCAAGAGTCACATGTGCGACTCATTGCAACGAACGTGTTAATTTGGTTGGGAACAGACTGATTATTTGAGACTGATATTTGAGACAATTGTACGTGAGTTAGGTTAGGGTCATGTTAGGACAGGTTAGGAGTGGTTACGAGTGGCTACCTCGTAGACGCATAGAATAGAGAAGAGAGTCGGCATTTAGGTCTATACACATTTGCTTCGGCAAGCCTGCGAGAGAGGCGAAACAGCGAGAAGTTTTCTTTTGTTGTTATTCGCGCGTAGCTTGGATACATTACAATCGTCTACTGTGACAGTCCATACAACGATATTTGCTCAGGCGTTTGTCAGCCGCGCTAGTGTCATTTACTCGCACCAATTCTGTTATTAATGCGTGCACGCACGGTAAGGGACAGAAATTTCTCGATATTCTGTTCCTTTCAACGTTTTGCCGGACGAAACATATGTAACGCGTGAAATAGTGTGCCACGCGCGGATCACGTGTGTTATCTGTCCTTATGTTCAATTATTTATTTGTATGTGAGTCGTTTGTATTCCGAAGAGTGAAAACACATACACAAGGTGAATTCGAAATTTACAAGGTCAGCATTAGCCACGACGTCGCGTTTAACATCAGAACTATCGATGGTTAACGAATTATTTTCACCAGAGAGGTCAAAATGACAGCTTTTAAGAAATGCGCAACTTAAGAGGAAAATGTTTTTTTTAGTTTTTTAGTTGTATCCAACGTCGATTAAAAGTATAAAATAAATCGTTACAACTTTGAATAATTTTGATAAATTACAATTTACTCATTTTGATATAATTTAATA